ACTTTGTTGCAGTCCATGAGACAAAGGCTCCCCACACTTCCCTGGAACATTTCCTCTGCTGTGGACCTGGACACAGTCACACTGACTGGCTGACTGGCTGACTGGCTGACACCCTGCCTGTTATGGATGGTAAGCTGAAGTTGAGGGAAAGTTCTTTTCTTTTCTTTTTTTTTTGCACCAAACAGTTCTTTGTGTTTTCCAAGTGCTGATTCTGCCGTCTTTCTGTCTTAGCTCATCAAATCACTCAAATCATTTTGTTTTTGTTTTTTTTGCTGGCCTGTGGTTAAAAAGATTGACATTAAGAAGGAACTGAAAGGATACAGATGAAGAGACATAAATGGAATGAAATACCACTGATGTGTGTTTTATTTCAAATTTATATAAAAACTTCCAGAGAAATACATTTCAATCAGGGAAGCATTCAGATTCTATCGATCACTGTATCAACATACAACAGTTACTGAGCAACTGACACTGACTGTTGGTGAAAAGTCTGCCACCAAACTGCCAAAGCAGTCAGTTCTTATGTATTACTTTATGAATATTTACATAAAATATTCACAATATATTGATATATACATACACACACAGATATTATACATAGTGTATATAAATAAATATAAAAAATCTGTTTGTAATTCCTTACAGTTCTAGTCACATATATAACATTTGACTGCATAAAAGTTAGCCATTGAACTCGCTGAAGTGGCGAGTCAGCAGTGCGGATGTTTTCACTGCAGTGGAACTGATACAACTGTAACAACCTGAAGCGATTGGAAAATGTCTCCACAGCAGAAAATAGTCGGAGCAACAGAGAATGACAGGTGTCACACGGTGTGTCATCGAACGACGCTGAGCGGCGCCGCACTGTAAAATGTGTGCAGATAGGTTTCTCTCTAACGACTGCCAGGAGGGCGAGCGAGTCCGTGCAGCTACAGGAGGGAAAAACAGAATGAGGACAGGGTTTAAAAAGTACTGTTTTGTAGATAAGGGACAGAGAGATGTGGCTTCTCCGCCCTGAGTCAAAGAAAACACTCAAATAAACTGGAACTAGGCTGGAACTTTGGGGCTCACCTGGTTCTTTGGGCCACGGTTCTGATAATGTTGGTCCTGCTTGACCAGACGCCTTCACTCTGGTGGTGGAAAAATCTGTGGACTGTTAAGAGGAGCAACATGTTGACCAGGAACATCCAGGAACGTCAGAGAACATCCAGGAACGTCAGAGAACATCCAGGAACGTCAGAGAACATCCAGGAACGTCAGAGAACATCCAGGAATCTGACCTGGGTCAGAGTTTTGGAACAACCCTGGCAGCATCATCTACGACAAATAATATTAATTAATAAATTACGCAAATTACTCAATTTTGGTCTAAACCTGGAAATGTCTGATTAAACTCATACAGCGCACGAAAAAAGGATGAGAGAATTTTTGTTTTATAACTGTTTTATGTATATTAATAAAAAAAACCCAACAATAATTGCAGCAGCATGATACAATAGAAACAAAAACTCCTCATGTTCACGACTGAGTTTCTTAACAATAGTATTTAATGATTTAGTGTGGAAAACTTTAACAAATGTTTCTAAATTAAGCTGGTGTTACCTTAGCGACGGAAAACTGGTCAAAAGCAGTCACAGAGCAGTCAGTGATGACTTTCCTCTTGTTTGTAGCACTTTTCTACACCAGCTCTTCCTATCAACCATTATACTGACAGACTCTGCCACTCACACACTGTGGGTGAGGATGGGGGGGGGCGGCAGCAGAGAGCAACTCCTTGTCTCCAGCTGTGCAGGTTGAGCTCACGGTGAAAGATTATGGATCAGCGAGAGGTCAGAAAAACAAATAACTGTTAGATTGATGATGGAGCCCGATGTCCAAAGGGCAGCCTCACCACTAACAGTTTGTACAGCCCACTGTGGCTCCTGACAGGAAAACCATTTAATGTCAGTGATCTGTCTGCCACAGGCTTAGATCAAGAGAAATATGTTCTCGGCCAAAGTGGTTCAGGAGAGAGGAAAAAAAACTCCTCCATTTAATATTCTATCATGTAAACAAATGTATTTGTGAGACGCGGTGAATTTACTTATCGCTTGTAAATCATTTTCCAGTTAATTACTCACAAACGCCTTTCAGTGGTCGGAGCCATGAACACAAACACACCTGAGGCAAAGTAGTTATAGAAAACACAATCGATATTAAAACGTCAGCAGTAGTGACGCGGTTCAAGCTAATCTGTATTCACAAAAACACCAGTTTATCATGAAAGTACTACAGTTCATACACAAAATTGTAAGTTTGCAATAATGTGTAAAAAAAAACAAGGTTACGTTTTTTAAGGCACAGGCAGAAACACGGTAGAGTTACCCTATTATATATGTCGCTCCAGAGTATCAGACACACAGTGTGAAAATAACAAACATGTGACATTATATATTTCACTATATATAAGTCACACCTGAGCAAACCCAGCCAAAGGATGACAAAAAGTGCGACGTATAATCCAGAAAATACGGTAATGCACAGGATGTTTTGTTTAACCAAAGCACCTTGGGCTTAAAATTAGAATTTTTTCTTTTTCACGTCAAAAACAGCAGAAAGTAAATATTAAAGTATTCACCGCAGACACAGTCGTACTATGTTGTGTTTACTGATCTTACACTTAAGATTTACATTTTATTTTAACCTTGTTGTACATGTGTTTGGACTGCAGTAAAACAACAGCAACAAGGGAAAAAAACACCATCACCTTCATGCTATAAGGCAAGAAAACCATCCACTCCTACACTGCGTGGTCCAGCGGTGTGTAGTGAAATGAATATTATTAAGTAACGCCTAATGCAGATGCAGGTCAGAGTCAAGGTCGAGTGAAAGTTTGCATCAAAGATCAGAATGAGTCTACGTTCATCTGTGGATTTCCTTCTACGTATACAAAAGCCAAGTAAGTCACATGACCAGGCCCACAGAGATACACGCACACTGGAAAGGCTCCAGATGTTAGGTGTTACGTGAACCCACGCAGTATTAGTGTGTTCCTCATACAGCGTACGGTCAAACATATTTCGTTTCAGAGTTGGGAGGAATTCAAGTTTTTTGAATTAGCCTGATATTTGACTGCAGAAATATGACATGAAAAAGACGGAAGCAGAGAGGCCGCGCTAACCTGATCAAAAGACTCTGACAAGGGAAAAAAAAGAAAAAGACTCAAGTCAAAGTGGAGACAATTCCCCTGTGCATCACTGTTACCATGAACGCCTGCCTCTGTGTGGAGCCGTAGCTCCCATCCCGTCTCAACAATTGCAAACGAAGAATGAAAAAGATAAATAAAAAATGTCTCTAGCAAAACGAACTTCAGAGAGACGCTTCCATAAGAGGCGGTTGTATGTTTTGTTTTCCAGCACAGAGCTCACAACCAAAGGGCCAGAGTGTGCTTCAGGACGGGGGATTGTAGCACAGACTGAAGGAGCAATCTGGAGGAGAAAGGGAGAAAAGGAGGAGCAGGCTGATGAAACGTTTCCTCTGGTCTTGCACTGGCAGCACTTAAATGCACACCGAGCGCCGACCAAGCCTTAAACGCAGGGAATTCAACTATTTATTTGGAGACTCTTTTTATTGTTGTCTTTTAAGAGCTGCTCTCTATCTCCAATGGTAAATGAAAAAAATAGTCAAATGGCCACCTGACTATTTTTCTCTTTTTCCTTACAGCAAACGGCTAAAGTGGGAACATCTCACTTGGACTTTCTGACAATTGCACATCAATATTCACCAAAGAGCCTGTGGATATTTTATATTGAACTGAAATATATGGAACTGAGAGTCTTTTCTGTACCAGTCTTTGTGTTTCCCTTTTTCAAATTCCTTCAAATTCTAAGTCCTTAGAGACCGACGCTTTGATTTTTTATTATTTGGTAAGTCATTGAAATTTTTAAAGTACAAAATCACTGTTGATGTGGAAGCTAGTTTTTCTAGCAGCCACATCAACAGTGTGACAGTTTTGAACTTCCTCTAAGTTTGTCCACAAACTGAAAGGACTTTTTAGAAAAACTCTCATCTCTAGGCAGCGTGGGCCTGATAAAGGAAAAATAATTTAGATTTCAGTATTTCCTCTATTGATCCAACAAGGAGGAAAACTATTAATTTGCCATTTTCTGTATTTTGTTCCATGTGAATTGATTTGAAGCCGTAGCCGTGAATGTGTCCAAAAGGGGGGGAGCAGTGGGGGTGGGGGATGGTTAAAGGAGTCTAATGCAGCATCATTTTTTACATTTTTTGCTTTTGAACAACTTGTCTGATTTAGTGCTTCATCTGCAGTGTTGTTTATCTACTCTGCGGTCACCCTCCTCCCCCCACCCCCCTTCCCCCCACTCATTGCTGAAGCAGACAGCTGACCACTGAGTCTGGAGCTGCTGGAGATTTCTTCCTGTTAGCACTGATGCCAAAGTGCTTGCTCAGTGTGTGACCGAACTTGGATTTCTATAATAACTTTTAAACTTATTTTTCTCTCTGTCTCTCTCTCTCTTGTTGTGTAGAACCTTTACAACGTGACTTTATGATCCTCCTCCTCCTCTGTTTTCTCTCTTACAAGTATTTTGGGGAGGTGCAATAGATCATTTTAATTAGCAGTTGCCTCCACTGAGGCAAATGTGTTTTGTGACTACGTGCCATTCCGTCAGACTTGACCCCATAGAGCAGGGGTCAAAGTCATTTAACCCTTTAAAAACTGTATAAAACAATAGTACAACTGCGACAACAATACATTTTCTCCAAAAAAAAAAAAAAAAACCCAAATCCTCAAAATCAAATCACTGTTGACATATACACATCTTTGTGGGGCCACTTTCAGCCCGTGGGCCAGGAATTTGAGACCCCTGCCATAAAGAGAGCACAGGAAATGTGCTACAGACCAGGAACAGCACAGAGAGATTAACAACAAACAACATCAGCCGCAGCAGCAGGGGTGGTGCAGCGTGATGCTGGACCAACACCTACAGCAGCAGAGACTCAGTTCTCACAGATCTACAGTTTGTGCTGCAGGCACGGAGCCTTAGATCAAGATGACCACAGAGAGCTTAAATACAACGTGAGCACAAAAAAAATAAAAATGAACAAGGTTAACAGCCTTCGAGGGAAGGTTTTATTTCCAATAAACTTCACATAAACACCTTAAATGTTGTATTATTAAAACGCATTCATTCATGACCACGCTCCGATGCTGCATGCCGCATTTCACCCGTTTTTCTACAGCTATTCATTTCTATTTTGAAAAGACACAAAGAAATGTGTTCACCTTGATTTAAATAAAAGTATAAATCTCAAAAGAAAAAGAGATACAATAATTGAAATATTTTTCAGCTTTTTTTTTCAGTAATCTTTTACAGATGAGCACAATGGCAGGATCCACACACTGGAAACAGAGCGGCCCGTGAAGAAGGGCATGACAATTGATTGAAAGTATGGTCTCAGGTCAAGGTGGTTTGCACTGAGTGGAACAAGAGGACGGTGAAAAATGAGCAAAACAAAAACCAGCCAAAGAAAACATGCTGAGCAGCGGAGGAGAGGAGAGTGATTCAGACGCAAACGCACGACAGATAAAAGGCTTAATACTGAAAAGACAGGCCAGAAACGTAGAGTGGGAACATGTACCATAAGTCCCCCCCCCCCACAGACAGGTAAACATGTGAGGTCCAAACACACAGTTAAGAATTATTACCCATTTTTAGTCTAAATGATTGGAGCTCCTAGATTATACAGCACGTACATAGTGTCATCTTGGTTTCTGATTGGTCGGACCTCTGCTGCAACTAATGATAACTCACCGCAGGGAATTGAAAATTAATTTAGAGGTGGTGCTGGAGTATTTGGACCATTACACACTATATGCACCAAATACTATTGAGCAAGACAAACACAAGGCACACATGGTCGATACCTGAGAGAGACAGAGAGAGAGAGAGAGAGAGAAAGAGAGGGAGGGAGAGAGAGAAAGGACTACCCAGGTCCACGGTAACAGGTTTTATTTGCAGACAACAAGTCCAAAACTTGTGTTCTTTTTTCATTAGGAAGAGAATCATATGGCCCCTGCACCCTAATAGCAATGGTTTCTGGGAAGAAAAGAAAAAAAACCCCTGCAGTGCATTTAAAAGCCTTCACTCTTCACAGCCACTCGGCTTTTAATCATGTTTTTTATCAGTAACATGGTTAAGTGCTGCCCAGAGTGGGCTGCACATTACGCTGTGAAGATCAACTCCATTATTTTCATTTACATTTAAATGTGCATTTACTCTTCCTGCCTGCTTCATCTTTCACACCAGCAGGAGAGCCGGCAACACCACGGCTCAATCCTCCACAGATCAGAATCTAGTCAGAGCAGTACTCACCTCCATGTCTGTGAGTGTCTCTGTGCACGCAGCGGTGAGTGGTCAGGCAGCACGGAACACAGCCACAACATCTGCACCATGGGTCTTCAAACAGGAAGCCGAGGTGTGACGGGTGTTTCCTGTAAACATCAGCATCATCAGTGTGGGTCTTTATTCAGGTCCTAATTCTACAAACTGCAAATTATTTTCCTGTCTGTGGTTAGAATAAAGGAGATACACGTTTTCCTGGTTTTGGCAATAATAAAATAAAGAAACATCAATTGGAGTACAAATATAACTTATAAAACATATAAATAATTCACATGATATAAAACACATCCATTCATAAACATCACCATACACTCAACACTCTCTCCATACTTTAGCTCGTATGAACACAACTAATTACTTCGCTGCATATTCAACTGCTAACATACAGTGTGTACACCTGACTGACGTAAGAAAACCTGTGATGTGGAAAACACACTGTTGGCACTACACACTTGCCTCCTGTTTAGGTAAAATAGGTGTATTTTTTTTAAAGTTCTTTCTAATTAAACCGTTTCCACAGCCTGTAATCTGATATTTTAAATCAACATATAGGTCGGAAAATGTGGAGTGAGAATTGCAGCAAAGGCTAAAAAGGGCTGGCAGATGTTAAACTATCCAGGCCATGAAATATGAGGGTGTTTCTACTTCAACACGGGCGAGCTCATTACTCTCACTGATTTACAGGCGAGAGATTAGATTTAATTTCTGAGTAAGTCCAGCT